ATGAGTTGGTTTTACCTGTCACTTACCTGGAGCAGCATATTTCTGTCCTGGTGATGTGAAATTTCTCCACTGTCAACAGGTTCAGCAATAATACACAATTTTTGTATTGGGGTGGAAAGAGTTAGAAACCCTTGGGGTTTTTTTTTATTCAGATCTATTCCTGTTCATATGACACCTATACCCTTTCTTTCTTATTCTGGTGTCATCCAGACAGAAAAGTAAAGATAGTTTTACCCCGTAGGGTCATAACCAGCAATAAATCCAACAGCACATCTCACCATTCCCATTGTAAGGCTAAAAAAAATTGCAGTCTAGGAAGACAAGCCAGCAGAACAATACACCTTGAACTGTTGGGTGCTTCTGTTGTGACATAGCAAGGTAAAACAGCACATACAGAAAGGCAATGCCTCCTTACTTTCCTTCTTCTGTGTAGACTTCCACCAACAGGAGTGTGTTATCAGACTCGCTCCTGCACTCAGCACTGTAGGTTCTCTGAACTCCAACCCTCCCTCTACTTCCAATCAGTATTCTTTGTCCCATAGGCAGCACTTTCTTCATAGGCTACATAGCAGGAAAAGGCACAGATTGATGTTGTTGATGTGGTTGAGTGGAGAATAATTTTATACTCAGCTCCTAAATGTCTACGCCCCCCAGACACCTGCTGGGCCCTTGACTCCTAACTAAGGCGCCTTGTGGGTAATCCAGATTTAGGCACAAACCAAAAGATTACATTAATGACCAACAATCTACAAACATAGAAAGGGTAGTAAGCATACACTAAGTGGTCAACATGTTATGTCTGATAGGTGTCCCAATGCTGGCACACATTTATGGATACATGAAAAACCATCCACTTGTAAGCAAGTTAAAATGCTAGTTAGTGAGATAGGTGCTGCCCCTGCCAAGGAGGAAAAGAGGTAATATGTTTACTGCATTTTCTACTGAGCTCTGTCTGTCTGCTTGTGCTGATAATAAAAGGGGGGAGGGTTCTGCCCAGACAGACAGTCTGCATGAGAAAGAAGACACATACAAGCCACAGCATATAACCTCCAGCTGGGAAGGGGAAGCATTTCCACCTCAGAGAGCAAGCCTGTCTGCTGTCACATCCACCATGTAGGGAGATTGCTTGGACCTGCAGTCCACCCTGAAGACACCAATTCTGAAGATCTGGATTTTGCCATGTATGGGCTCTCCTCCTGTGCCGGTATGATGGGACAGCCACAAACCCAAATTAGGGATTAGAGACGTTGGGAGAAGACTGGGCACATTGTTCTGTCAAGCTTATCATTTTAAGTAAAGCTTTTGAAATTTTGTTTTTGCCTGGTCTGAAGTTACTAAAGAACTGTAATGAAAGTAACCGACACATTCTGCACATAGTCTACAGCATGGGTCAGTAGAGCACATTGGGGTAGGTCAGGTAGAGTTAACCCAGTGTGGTGTACAAGCATGTGGTTACCAAGGGTAATGGAGTTTTAATAAGCAGCCTGTCGTGAAACATGTGCCTGTGACAGGTGGGACAGCCTCTTGCAGTGAGGGAGTTGTCGACATTCTCTCCATTAGTGGTCCATCTCCCATAGCATAGGGAACAGATCAGCACTACTAGATGCTCAGCGGGACCCCATTCTGTTTCTGGTAGTGAGGTAGCGGAGATACTCTAGACAGAAGAAGTGAGCATAGGTTCAGAGTGTCCTTCCTAATTGCAGCAGTTACAGTGAAGGTGTACATTGACACATGGACAAGAGAGTTAACTGGAGTGTAGTTTATTGTTAAAGTGTACATGGCCATCTCTAAGGTTGAGGTTCCACTTTAATTTTGAGCTATCCCTGAAAGCCACCCCCTGCCTTGTCCCGGGGCATTGATGAGCACTGCACAGTAAAGGTACCTCACGTGTAAAGAGAGTGACCCTGTTTAAAATGCCTAGTTTAGCCCAGAGAAACCCACCCCGACGTAGGCCTCCCATGTGACCCACACTTGGTGTCCAACATGGAGGTTAACATAGAGACAGCATCACCCGCCTGCCCCTTACACTCTTTACTTGCTAGCTTTTCAAATTAGTGTAGTTTGGAGTTAGGATAAGTGGTTACCAGCAGCAGCTAATGTACACTAGGAAACTGCAAAAGGCATCCTAGCACCTACCTAAAATTAGACATTTTTATTGTTCAACTTCATGTGTAAAATTGTAATACCAGCTGTGCAGTGAGCATTGATAGATAACATGGAAATCAGCCCCTGCCCCTAAAGGAGCAAAATTAATACCAAAGAACCAGTCTGAGTGGAAGATAATGAACCTATCATGTTTGGATTCTTGGAGAAATCCTGTATAAAACACAGAGAAACATACATACAATCTACATGCAGATAGTATCCTTGGTAGTATGTAAACCCTCCAGTCTAAACAAAATGCTTTCCTACAGTTTCAAATGGCAGAGCTATTTATAAATATACTGTGGCCTTCTACAGCAGGATACTAGAGATGAGCGAAGAAATGAAAAATTCGATTCGACTGATTCGGCGAATTCGTGGACAATATTCGATTCGAGTCGAATAAATTCGCTGTGAATTTAACTTAAAAAAGGGTGTTTCTAGGCTTCAGAGAGACTTAATATTAGTGCAGAACACTGTACCTTTAATTTAAATGCCCTTGGAGTCTGCTGGGGAAGAGAAAATAATACTGTCTGTCAGTATGACATGCAGATGAGTGCCGTCGATCTTAGAATCACTGCACACTTCACTCCTTTGGCCAGTCACGGGGCCAAAACCAGTGTTTGGAGCCACAGTGTGGCGGTGGAGGCAGCAGCAGCAATGGGAGGCCATACAGCACCTATGACAAAATGGAAACCAGCAGGAGCGTGAGGAGACCTGAAAGTGGCACATGGCAGAGTGGGAGCAATGGGAGGCGGTACAGGGACCCAGGTCACACTATGGGCCCAGCAGCAGCGTGACCAGGCGGTACGGGGGCCCATGGCCGATATGGGGCTTGGTGGCACCTATGGAAGGCCTGTAATCTGCCAGCAACCTATGACAAAATGGACAACCGCAGGAGTGTGAGGAGATTTCAAAGTGGCACATGGCAGAGTGGAAGCAATGGAAGGCCGTACAGGGACCCAGGTCACACTGTGGGACCAGCATCAGCGTGAACAGGCGGTACGGGGGCCCATGGCCGATTTGACCTCATTCATCCCATAGTCCTGCCGACTCACGAATAGCGTGGCCTCCTCAAAGGGCCTGAGCAAGCGCAGGTGTCACACATGAGCTGCCAATGGCTGACATCTAAGTTACACAGGGAGTACCTTTATCCGCTTTTAACATCAGGAAATCTGTGATGGCCTTTAGCTGTTCGTAAAGGCGGTCTAACATATGTAGGGTTGAATTCCACCTTGTTGCAACGTCACAGCATGAGGAGTCGGTACGGGGGCCCATGGCAGATTACATGTCTGGCAGCAGCTATGTGAGGCCCGTAATCTGCCTGCACCCTATGTCAAAAAATTTAACACACCAGCAGTGTGAAGAGACCTGAAAGTGGCACATGGCAGCAGAGTGTGGCGATGGAGACAGCAGCAATGGGAGGCCGTACAGGGACCCATGAGAGACTCTAGACTTGGCAGCAGCATGAGGAGGCGGTATATATAGGGGCCCATGGCAGATTAGGGGCCTGGCAGCAGCAGCTATGTGAGGCCCGTAATCTGCCTGCACCCTATGTCAAAAAATTTAACACACCAGCAGTGTGAAGAGACCTGAAAGTGGCACATGGCAGCAGAGTGTGGCGATGGAGACAGCAGCAATGGGAGGCCATACAGGGACCCATGACAGACTCTGGACTTGGCAGCAGCATGAGGAGGCGGTATATAGGGGCCCATGGCAGATTAGGGGCCTGGCAGCAGCTATGTGAGGCCCGTAATCTGCCTGCACCCTATGTCAAAAAATTTAACACACACCAGCAGTGTGAAGAGACCTGAAAGTGGCACATGGCAGCAGAGTGTGGCGATGGAGACAGCAGCAATGGGAGGCCCGTACAGGGACCCATGAGAGACTCTGACTTGGCAGCAGCATGAGGAGGCGGTATATAGGGGCCCATGGCAGATTAGGGGCCTGGCAGCAGCTATGTGAGGCCCGTAATCTGCCTGCACCCTATGTCAAAAAATGTAACACACCAGCAGTGTGTGAGGAGACCTGAAAGTGGCACATGGCAGAGTGTGTGCGATGGAGACAGCAGCAATGGGAGGCCGTACAGGGACCCATGAGAGACTCTGGACCTGGCAGCAGCATGAGGAAGCGGTATATAGGGGGCCTATGGCAGATTAGGGGCCTGGCAGCAGCTATATGAGGCCCATAATCTGCCAGCACCCTATGTCAAAAAATTCTACACACCAGCAGTGTGTGAGAGACCTGAAAGTGGCACATGGCAGCAGAGTGTGGCGATGGAGACAGCAGCAATGGGAGGCCGTACAGGGACCCATGAGAGACTCTGGACCTGGCAGCAGCATGAGGAGGCGGTATATAGGGGCCCATGGCAGATTAGGGGCCCTGGCAGCAGCTATAGGAGGCCCGTAATCTGCCAGCACCCTATGTCAAAAAATTCTACACACCAGCAGTGTGAGGAGACCTGAAAGTGGCACATGGCAGCAGAGTGTGGCGATGGAGACAGCAGCAATGGGAGGCCGTACAGGGACCCATGACAGACTCTAGACTTGGCAGCAGCATGAGGAGGCGGTATATAGGGGCCCATGGCAGATTAGGGGCCTGGCAGCAGCTATGTGAGGCCCGTAATCTGCCTGCACCCTATGTCAAAAAATTTAACACACCAGCAGTGTGAAGAGACCTGAAAGTGGCACATGGCAGCAGAGTGTGGCGATGGAGACAGCAGCAATGGGAGGCCATACAGGGACCCATGACAGACTCTGGACTTGGGCAGCAGCATGAGGAGGCGGTATATAGGGGCCCATGGCAGATTAGGGGCCTGGCAGCAGCTATGTGAGGCCCGTAATCTGCCTGCACCCTATGTCAAAAAATTTAACACACCAGCAGTGTGAAGAGACCTGAAAGTGGCACATGGCAGCAGAGTGTGGCGATGGAGACAGCAGCAATGGGAGGCCGTACAGGGACCCATGAGAGACTCTAGACTTGGCAGCAGCATGAGGAGGCGGTATATAGGGCCCATGGCAGATTAGGGGCCTGGCAGCAGCTATGTGAGGCCCGTAATCTGCCTGCACCCTATGTCAAAAAAATTTAACACACCAGCAGTGTGAAGAGACCTGAAAGTGGCACATGGCAGCAGAGTGTGGCGATGGAGACAGCAGCAATGGGAGGCCGTACAGGGACCCATGAGAGACTCTGGACTTGGCAGCAGCATGAGGAGGCGGTATATAGGGGCCCATGGCAGATTAGGGGCCTGGCAGCAGCTATGTGAGGCCCGTAATCTGCCTGCACCCTATGTCAAAAAATTTAACACACACCAGCAGTGTGAAGAGACCTGAAAGTGGCACATGGCAGCAGAGTGTGGCGATGGAGACAGCAGCAATGGGAGGCCGTACAGGGACCCATGAGAGACTCTAGACTTGGCAGCAGCATGAGGAGGCGGTATATAGGGGCCCATGGCAGATTAGGGGCCTGGCAGCAGCTATGTGAGGCCCGTAATCTGCCTGCACCCTATGTCAAAAAATTTAACACACCAGCAGTGTGTGAGGAGACCTGAAAGTGGCACATGGCAGAGTGTGGCGATGGAGACAGCAGCAATGGGAGGCCGTACAGGGACCCATGAGAGACTCTGGACCTGGCAGCAGCATGAGGAGGAAGCGGTATATAGGGGCCCATGGCAGATTAGGGGCCTGGCAGCAGCTATAGGAGGCCCGTAATCTGCCAGCACCCTATGTCAAAAAATTCTACACACACCAGCAGTGTGAAGAGAGACCTGAAAGTGGCACATGGCAGAGTGTGGCGATGGAGACAGCAGCAATGGGAGGCCGTACAGGGACCCATGAGAGACTCTGGACCTGGCAGCAGCATGAGGAGGCGGTATATAGGGGCCTATGGCAGATTAGGGGCCTGGCAGCAGCTATAGTGAGGCCCATAATCTGCCAGCACCCTATGTCAAAAAATTCTACACACACCAGCAGTGTGAGGAGACCTGAAAGTGGCACATGGCAGCAGAGTGTGGGCGATGGAGACAGCAGCAATGGGAGGCCGTACAGGGACCCATGACAGACTCTAGACTTGGCAGCAGCATGAGGAGGCGGTATATAGGGGCCCATGGCAGATTAGGGGCCTGGCAGCAGCTATGTGAGGCCCGTAATCTGCCTGCACCCCTATGTCAAAAAAATTTAACACACCAGCAGTGTGAAGAGACCTGAAAGTGGCACATGGCAGCAGAGTGGCGATGGAGACAGCAGCAATGGGAGGCCGTACAGGGACCCATGACAGACTCTGGACTTGGCAGCAGCATGAGGAGGCGGTATATAGGGGCCCATGGCAGATTAGGGGCTGGCAGCAGCTATGTGAGGCCCGTAATCTGCCTGCACCCTATGTCAAAAAATTTAACACACCAGCAGTGTGAAGAGACCTGAAAGTGGCACATGGCAGCAGAGTGTGGCGCGATGGAGACAGCAGCAATGGGAGGCCGTACAGGGACCCATGAGAGACTCTAGACTTGGCAGCAGCAGCATGAGGAGGCGGTATATAGGGGCCCATGGCAGATTAGGGGCCTGGCAGCAGCTATGTGAGGCCCGTAATCTGCCTGCACCCTATGTCAAAAAATTTAACACACCAGCAGTGTGAAGAGACCTGAAAGTGGCACATGGCAGCAGAGTGTGGCGATGGAGACAGCAGCAAATGGGAGGCCGTACAGGGACCCATGAGAGACTCTGGACTTGGCAGCAGCATGAGGAGGCGGTATATAGGGGCCCATGGCAGATTAGGGGCCTGGCAGCAGCTATGTGAGGCCCGTAATCTGCCTGCACCCTATGTCAAAAAATTTAACACACCAGCAGTGTGAAGAGACCTGAAAGTGGCACATGGCAGCAGAGTGTGGCGATGGAGACAGCAGCAATGGGAGGCCGTACAGGGACCCATGAGAGACTCTAGACTTGGCAGCAGCATGAGGAGGCGGTATATAGGGGCCCATGGCAGATTAGGGGCCTGGCAGCAGCTATGTGAGGCCCGTAATCTGCCTGCACCCTATGTCAAAAAATTAACACACACCAGCAGTGTGTTGAGGAGACCTGAAAGTGGCACATGGCAGAGTGTGGCGATGGAGACAGCAGCAATGGGAGGCCGTACAGGGACCCATGAGAGACTCTGGACCTGGCAGCAGCATGAGGAGGCGGTATATAGGGGCCTATGGCAGATTAGGGGCCTGGCAGCAGCTATAGGAGGCCCATAATCTGCCAGCACCCTATGTCAAAAAATTCTAAACACACCAGCAGTGTGAGAGAGACCTGAAAGTGGCACATGGCAGCAGAGTGTGGCGATGGAGACAGCAGCAATGGGAGGCCGTACAGGGACCCATGACAGACTCTAGACTTGGCAGCAGCATGAGGAGGCGGTATATAGGGGCCCATGGCAGATTAGGGGCCTGGCAGCAGCTATGTGAGGCCCGTAATCTGCCTGCACCCTATGTCAAAAAATTTAACACACACCAGCAGTGTGAAGAGACCTGAAAGTGGCACATGGCAGCAGAGTGTGGCGATGGGAGACAGCAGCAATGGGAGGCCGTACAGGGACCCATGACAGACTCTGGACTTGGCAGCAGCATGAGGAGGCGGTATATAGGGGGCCCATGGCAGATTAGGGGCCTGGCAGCAGCTATGTGAGGCCCGTAATCTGCCTGCACCCTATGTCAAAAAAAATTAACACACCACCAGCAGTGTGTGAGGAGACCTGAAAGTGGCACATGGCAGCAGAGTGTGGCGATGGAGACAGCAGCAATGGGAGGCCCGTACAGGGACCCATGAGAGACTCTGGACCTTGGCAGCAGCATGAGGAAGCGGTATATAGGGGCCCATGGCAGATTAGGGGGCCTGGCAGCAGCTATGTGAGGCCCGTAATCTGCCAGCACCCTATGTCAAAAAATTTAACACACCAGCAGTGTGTGAGGAGACCTGAAAGTGGCACATGGCAGCAGAGTGTGGCGATGGAGACAGCAGCAATGGGAGGCCGTACAGGGACCCATGAGAGACTCTGGACCTGGCAGCAGCATGAGGAGGCGGTATATAGGGGGCCCATGGCAGATTAGGGGCCTGGCAGCAGCTATGTGAGGCCCGTAATCTGCCAGCACCCTATGTCAAAAAATTTAACACACCAGCAGTGTGAGGAGACCTGAAAGTGGCACATGGCAGCAGAGTGTGGCGATGGAGACAGCAGCAATGGGAGGCCGTACAGGGACCCATGACAGACTCTAGACTTGGCAGCAGCATGAGGAGAGGCGGTATATAGGGGCCCATGGCAGATTAGGGGGGCCTGGCAGCAGCTATGTGAGGCCCGTAATCTGCCTGCACCCTATGTCAAAAAATTTAACACACCAGCAGTGTGTGAAGAGACCTGAAAGTGGCACATGGCAGCAGAGTGTGGCGATGGAGACAGCAGCAATGGGAGGCCGTACAGGGACCCATGACAGACTCTGGACTTGGCAGCAGCATGAGGAGGCGGTATATAGGGGCCCTATGGCAGATTAGGGGCCTGGCAGCAGCTATAGGAGGGCCCGTAATCTGCCAGCACCCTATGTCAAAAAATTTAACACACCAGCAGTGTGAAGAGACCTGAAAGTGGCACATGGCAGCAGAGTGTGTGGCGATGGAGACAGCAGCAATGGGAGGCCGTACAGGGACCCATGACAGACTCTGGACTTGGCAGCAGCATGAGGAGGGGTTTATATATAGGGGCCCATGGCAGATTAGGGGCCTGGCAGCAGCTATGTGAGGCCCGTAATCTGCCTGCACCCTATGTCAAAAAATTTAACACACCAGCAGTGTGAAGAGACCTGAAAGTGGCACATGGCAGCAGAGTGTGGCGATGGAGACAGCAGCAATGGGAGGCCGGCCGTACAGGGACCCATGACAGACTCTGGACTTGGCAGCAGCATGAGGAGGCGGTATATAGGGGCCTATGGCAGATTAGGGGCCTGGCAGCAGCTATAGGAGGCCCGTAATCTGCCAGCACCCTATGTCAAAAAAATAAACACACCAGCAGTGTGAGGAGACCTGAAAGTGGCACATGTTTGAGGCATGATTCATGGCGGATTTAGTCAGTTGTGTCAGGAACTGGTGGTTTGAAATCCAGACTAATCCACGCCTGATTCATTTTCACAAACGTGAGTCTCTCCACACTTTGGGTGGACAGTCGTGTCCTCCGCGGAGTTACAATACCTCCTGCCGCACTAAACACGCGCTCCGATGCCACGCTACTGGCCGGGCATGACAGCCTTTCAAGGGCAAATTCAGCTAGTTGGGGCCAAAGGTCAAGTTTCGTTGCCCAGTAGTCAAGGGGATTGTCTACCTCTCGGTTGGCAGGGTGCTGTCCAAGTAGGCCCAAGCCTGTTGTTTGAGCTCCTGCTCCAGGTCCACCTGATGCTGCTGCTGCTGCTGCTGCGGCTGGTTAGTAGTAGTTTCCTCACTGCGCTGGTGAAGAAAAAGCTACTCATCATCGACTGCAGACTGAGGGGGCAGCCGCTGCTGGTGGAGCTGCCACTGCTCCTACCACCCCCCACCCCTCCCCTGCTGCCATGCCAGCGGAACGCGAGCGCACAGGGCCCACAGTGTCTGAGGATGGACGTTGGCGCACAAAGGCAGAGACCAACTGACTACATAGGTGGTTTTTATAGTACGTAATTTTGGCCTCCCTCTCAGCAGGTGTGAAAAAGGCCACCATTTTGGACCGGTAGCGAGGGTCCAACAAGGTGGACAGCCAAAAGTCATCCCTCTGTCTGATGGTATATTATTCGGCTCGGCTGTCGCTACGCAAGCAACCAACCGAGCATGCTATGGGCCATTTGTGCCAAGGAATGCGAGGGACTCCCTGCCTCCATCTCCACAGCATACTGCCACGGTGCGTCTGGGTCCTCTCTGTCTCCTCCTCCTCCTCCTCTACCAGATGCTCCTGCTCCTCCACTCCTGTCCGCTGAGTGGAAAAACCACCCATTTCACTCAATAATTCCTGAGCACAAATGTCCTCCTCTACCTCCTCCTCTTCTTCCTGTCCTGCCCCCACAGGGGTCATGTGGCGTTGAGATCTGTGCGCCACGTCTACCGCACCCTGACCAGCCATTGTTAACAGCATTTGTTCCAGGACGTGCAACAGAGGAATGACGTCGTTCATCCCATAGTCCTGCCGACTCACGAATAGCGTGGCCTCCTCAAAGGGCCTGAGCAAGCGGCAGGTGTCACGCATGAGCTGCCAATGGCTGACATCTAAGTTACACAGGGGAGTACCTTTATCCGCTTGTAACATCAGGAAATCGGTGATGGCCTTTCGCTGCTCGTAAAGGCGGTCTAAACATGTGTAGGGTTGAATTCCACCTTGTTGCAACGTCGCAGATCAGGCGATGCTGTGGAATTCCGTTCTCTGCCGCTGCAGCTCAATGAGAGGGTGTTCTTTGCGGTGTAGGAATGGCTGAAATGCATGCACAGTTTACGTGACATTTTAAGGATGTCTTGCAGTGGGATGGTGGATTTTAGGAACCGCTTGACAACCAGATTGAACACGTGAGCCATGCATGGCGCATGGCACAACCTTCCTTGACGCAGAGCAGACACCATGTTCTTTCCGTTGTCAGTCAACATGGTTCCGATTTTTTAGTTTGCGCGGACAGCCATCTGTCGATTTCTCTGTTCATTACACTCAGCAGTTCCTCCCCTGTGTGACTACGTTCGCCAAGGCATACCAGGTGCAGCACAGCGTGACACCGTTGCGCCCTGCACATGTGATATGCCGGTCGGGTAATGGGACTTGGCACGGGGGGGTGGCGGCTGAGGACACGGCGGAAAAAGAGGTGGTAGAGGCGGACATGCTTGCTGGA